GAATTACCAACTAAATTTATCTTATAGCTATTTTTAGAACCTGTTTTAGAATTACAGATTAGGTGAGACAGAGATATTTGCAAAAGCATTTTCAAAAAAAAATTTGCTGAGAAAAGGGCAGACGTGCGGTGCTCAGCCAGCAACCTCTTTTAATCGCTGCACATTATCATTTAGCTAGACAACCAACTTCCCTCTACCTGCGGATTGTTCCAATTTAAAAGGATAAAAATATATACATTTGTTAGAAAATTTTTTATTTTCTTTGATCAAACTTTGAAGACAAAAATGTTATTTGGCTTATATACATCAATTAGCAATAAAAATATAATTTTAAAAGACCTCTGCGCATTACATTACAATACAGTCTTAAGCAGTTAAGCATCTACAAATTATTTCCCTTACTTAATAAACAAATTAAACATAGATTCTGCGAGGGAACTGTTACAATAGCATTTTGAAACTTTACCAGTCTCAGTAGTGTATCAAATTTTTCAGAACTGCATTAGTAGTAGGCTAAATTCAGCAGACTCAGGACTGTCTGTGGGTGAACTGTTGTACTTATTGGCAGGCAACAAATGAACAACTTTTCAAAGATTATTTTAAGATTCTAGCCAAATGGAACTGGACTGCAGCAATTCTCTCTTTCTTTATTCTTCTGAACGTATTTTTCTAACTAAAATCAGTTGTTATTTAAGTAATAAACTGAACTCGAGATATAAAAAACTAAAAAAAATTTCTTTTATAAATGAAATTTTCAGCTACCGCTTCTTTTTTCTTCTTTTTACTGTGTACTTTGGAAAACAAAGAAAACAGGTTGCTCTTGATAGCAGTAAAAACGTTGCAAAGTTGTGCGACTATCTTTACTTCCGGCTTTAAAAAAGTTTATGAACCTCTACAGATAAATGTGGTGAGAGAAGCTGACCTAAACACTTTGAGCTAAGTTGAATGGCAGTGGTAAAGAATTAAAAATAACACAGGAACTGATGGAGACGAACCAGCAAGG